TAGCCATCTTGGAGAGTCGGAAAACAAGTAACTTCTCCAGCCACATGTTCTGCTGTGCCCATGTGTGGCTGAGTCACCCAGGGTCAGAAGTTATTTATTCAGGCAAAGATGGCAGTATTATTCACAAGAGCCAAGACACGGAAACAATGTAAGTGTCCATTGATGGATGAATGGATACAGGAAATGTATGCTTGTTTATATATGTGTGTATGTATACACACACACACACACATATGCAGTGGAATATTATTCAGCCATAAAAGGAAGGAAATTCTGCCATTTGGGTCAATGTGGACAGACCTTGAGGACACTATGTTAGTGAAATAAATCAGTCAGAGAAAGACAATATCATATGATCTCACCTATAAGTGGAATTAGAATGGTTGCCAAAGGCAGGAGGCAGGGGATGAGGAGAACAGATAAAGGTGGTTAAAGGCACAAACTTCCAGTTATAAGATGAATATGCTCTGGGGACATAATGTATGGCCTGGTGCCTGCAGCAGACTTGGGTATGGTATAAGCTCGGCAGAGGAGGAGGTCGCCAATAACCCCACCATAGAGCTGTCAGAACTTACATAGGACTGGGGAAACAGACTCTTGCTGGGCACAAACAGAACGTTGTGTGTACCAGGAGAAAGGAGCAGTGACCCCATCAGAGACTGACCCAGACTTGCCCGTGAGTGTCCAGGAGATTCTGGTGGTGGCATGGGTTGGTGGTGGCTTGCTGCAGGGTTGGGGGCACCGAGTGTAGCAATGCATGCATGGGACCTTTTGAAAGGAGGTCGCCATTATTTTCATTACCTCCACCACAGTATGGCCCCAGGTAAATAGCAGGTCAAGTGGGCCTTAGGAAGCATTACTATGAACAAAGCTAGTGGAGGTGATGGAATTTCAGTTGAACTATTTCAAATCCTGAAAGATGATGCTGTGAAAGTGCTGCACTCAATAAGTCAGCAAATTTGGAAAACTCAGTAGTGGCCACAGGACTGGAAAAGGTCCATTTTCATTCCAATCCCAAAGAAAGGCAATGTCAAAGAATGCTCAAACTACCACACAATTGCACTCATCTCACATGCTAGTAAAGTAATGCTCTAAATTCTCCAAGCCAGGCTTCAGCAATATGTGAACCGTAAACTTCCAGGTGTTCAAGCTGGTTTTAGAAAAGGAAGAGGAACAAGAGGTCAAATTGCCAACAGCTGCTGGATAATCGAAAAAGCAAGAGAGTTCCAGAAAAACATCTATTTTTGCTTTATTGACTATGCCAAAGCCTTTGATTGTGTGGCTCACAACGAACTATGGAAAATTCTGAAAGAGATGGGAATACCAGACCACCTGACCTGCCTCTTGAGAAATCTGTATGCAGGTCAGGAAGCAACAGTTAGAACTGGACATGGAACAACAGATTGGTTCCAAATAGGAAAAGGAGTATGTCAAGGCCATATATTGTCACCCTGCTTATTTAATTTAGATGCAGAGTACATCATGAGAAACACTGGGCTGGATGAAGCACGAGCTGGAATCAAGATTGCCGGGAGAAATATCAATAACCTCAGATATGCAGATGACACCACCCTTATGGCAGAAAGTGAAGAAAAACTAAAGAGACTCTTGATGAAAGTGAAAGGGGAGAGTGAAAAAGTTGGCTTAAAGCTCAACATTCAAAAAACTAAGATCACAGCATCTGGTCCCATCACTTCATGGCAAATAGATGGGGTAACAGTGGAAATAGTGGCTGACTTTATTTTTTGGGGCTCCAAAATCACTGCAGATGGTGGCTGCAGCCATGAGATTAAAAGATGCTTACTCCTTGGAAGGCAAGTTATGACCAACTTAGATAGCATATTAAAAAGCAGAGACATTACTTTGCCAACAAAGGTTCATCTAGTCAGTTCAGTTCAGTTCAGTTGCTCAGTCGAGTCTGACTCCTTGTGACTCCATGAACTGCAGCACACCAGGCCTCCCTGTCCATCACCAACTCCCAGAGTTTACCCAAACTCATGTCCATTGAGTTGGTGATGCCATCCAATCATCTCATCCTCTGTCGTCCCCTTCTCCTCCTGCCCTCAGTCTTCCCCAGCATCAGGGTCTTTTCAAATGAGTCAGCTCTTCGTATCAGGTGGCCAAAGTATTGGAGTTTCAGCTTCAAGGCTATGGTTTGTCCACTAGTCATGTCTGGATCTGAGAGCTGGACTATAAAGACAGCTGAGCGCTGAAGAATGGATGCTTTTGACCTGTGGTATTAGAGAAGGCTCTTGAGAGTCCCTTGGGCTGCAAGGAGATCCAACCAGTCAATCCTAAAGGAGATCAGTCCTGGGTGTTCATTGGAAGGACTGATGCTGGAGCTGAAACTCCAATACTTTGGCCACTTGATGCAAAGAACTGGCTCATTTGAAAAGACCCTGATGCTGGGAAAGATTGAAAGCAGGAGGAGAAAGGGATGATAGAAGATGAGATGGTTGGATGGCATCACCGACTCAATGGACATAAGTTTGAGTAAACTCTGGGAGCTGGTGATGGACAAGGAGGCCTGGCATGCTGCGGTTCATGGGGTCGCAAAGAGTCAGACGTGACTGAGTGACTGAACTGAACTGATTGTATATTGACAGTTGCTAAGAGAGTAGATCTTAAAAGTTCTCATCACAAGAAAAAACTGTGTGATAATGGATGTTAACTAGACTTATGGTGGTGATCACTGTGTAATATATACACATATCAAATCATTGAAGATATATGTCTATTATATCCCAGTAAGACTGGACGTGGGGAACCATTATATTTCGGTTGTGAAACAACAATGGCAAAGGTAATTAAAGAGAAACTGGAGGCCCCAGGCCCAATAGCCCCCATTGTGGTCCTGATGTGAAAGGATGCTGAGGACTCAGGCCTAGTTCTGCTGTCTTAGGAGAAAAGTCATCTCCTGATGACTTAGGGCTTTCACTGCACAGATGACATTAAAATCTATATATCTATTCCTGTTATCTCTCCCAAACTCAGGTCACATATGCTCCCAGACATTTCTCCTTATTTCTCTTTATATACTTCTAAGAGTAGCATGTTAACCTCCTTGTATGTTCCCACAACTATGCAATAAAAAAAGGAATAAAGTCATCTCACTTGCAGATGGCACATGGATGTGTTAGGCAGGTAATAATTGGTGTAAATAGTATTAAAATAAAGGAATAAATAAAACAAACAAAAAAGGGGGCTTCCCAGGTGGCACTGCTGGTAAAGAACCCACTTGCCAATGCAGGAGACATAAGAGACTTGGGTTCAATCCCTGGGTCGGGAAGCTCCCCTGGAGGAGGGCATGGCAACCCACTCCAGTATTCTTCCCTGGAGAATCCCATGGACACAAGAGCCTGGTGGGCTTACAGTCCATGGGGTTGCAGAGTCAGATACGACTGATGCGACTTAGCACAAACGAAAAATGGTTTTTCCAGTAGTTATGTACGGATGTGCGAGTTGAACCATAAAGAAGGCTGAGCACCAAATAATTGATGCTTTTGAACTGTGGTTTTGGAGAAGACTCTTGAGAGTCCCTTGGACTGCAAGGAGATCAAATCAATCTATTCTAAAGGAAATCAACTCTGAATATTCATTAGAAGGACTGATACTGAAGCTGAAGCTCCAATACTTGGGCCACCTGATGTGAGGAGCCTATTGACTAGAAAAGACCCTGATGCTGGGAAGGACTGAGGGCAAGAGGAGAAGAGGGTGACAGAGGATGAGATGGGTGGATGGCATCACTGACTCAATGGACAAGAGTTTGAGCAAGCTCCGGGAGATAGTAAAGGACAGGGAAGCCTGGCGTGATGCAGTCCATGGGGTCACAAAGAGTTGGACACAACTTAGGGACTGAACAACAACAAAAAGTAAACAACAATAAAAAAAGAATCTGATGAAACATTAAAAGACAGGAAATATCATTTTCAGGCCCATGGTTAAGATGGAAGAAACCAATCATCTCAGCACAAAAAAGCTTTGACGCAAGTCTGATTCCAAGTTCCAAGGCCAGCCCCAAACAGAGGGCAAATTCCACAAACCTTCTGTACCAGATTTTCTGGAAGAGCAGTTAGAGGGGTGAGGTCACCTTTACATTACTGCACATGAGATGGGCTAAAAACACAAGGGGATAAGAGATAGAAAAAGGCCATACTTGAACGCCTGGGAATTTTTTGTTTTCTTTTTTGGGTGGGGAAAGAAATTTTTTTTATTGTAAAAAACACCTAACATTAAATTACTGTCTTAACCAGTTTTTTTGTTTGTTTGTTTTTGTTTTTTTGCCGTGCTATGTGGGATCTTAGTTTCCCAAACAGGGATCAAATCTGTGTCCCCTACATTGAGAGCATAGAGTTTTAACCCCACTGGACTGCCAGGCCAGTCCCCATCTTAACCAGTTTTATGTGTCCAGTGCACCAATGTGAAGTATATTTACACCGTTGTGCAACAGATCTCTAGAACTGTCCTGTTTTGCAAAACTGAAACTCTAGGGAGTTTCCTGGGGGTCTAGTGGTCAGGACTTGCATTTCCACTGCAGGGGGTGTGATTTCAACCCCTGGTCAGGAAACTAAGATCTCACGAGCCACAAGGCCTAGCCAAAAAAATTAAAAACAAACAACCCCCCCGAAACTCCATATACTCAAATGCTTATGAAACTTTTCAGACTGACCGTATCCACTGATCAGTGAGGCCCAGGCAGGGTCTGGATTCTGACCCTGGGATGAAATTTCTCACCTCTGGAGAAGAGAGAGACATTGTGTGAACAGAGGGCGGAGCCTCTTCTTACCTCTCTGCACTTCAAAGGCTGGGCTGATAACAAACAAGGTCACAGGCAACAGTTTCACCGAAATGCCAACATGTCCGCGCACTTGTAGGGACTACAGCCATTATGTCCAGCTGCGGACATGCTCGTGGCCATCACTACCTGACTACCCATTCCTCACATTTTAACAGTTGGCCCCAAAGTTACCATCACTCCTCTTTTTAAATATCAGACATACCTTGGAATCCTGAGACTATCTGGACAACGTCTTCATACACCATCAGGGTAGCGGATCGTTCTGGAAGCAGGCCCAGGCTTAGTGAAGAAAATACTGTGGAAACAAAGATGGATATGAAGGAATTCTGACTTCTAAATCAAAGTGCTCATACCAATTTTTTAAGTACTCTGCATTCTTTGGATTCTCTGGGTTAAAATCAATCAACAACATTGATTTTTTTACTAATGTGACATAATAATAAATATATATCTGTTCTCTGCCTCTGGTTCCTGGCTCAAAACCCCTTGTAAATTCCTGAGTCAGCAGAGTATCTTTCTGATCTGATCAGGAGACTCTGGGTGGCCTCCTGGATGCGGGCTGGTCACCAAAGAGATCAACCCATGATGAGAATCTCGGAACTTTCAGGCTCACTTCCCATCATCCAGAGAGAATAGATGGGGTGGAGAGTTCAGTTCATGATTGATCACACCCGCCATGACTGATGAAGCTACCATGAGAGTCCCAAAGGTACAGGCTTGGGGAACTTCAAGCTGGCAAGTACATTTATGTGCTAGGAGTGTGGTGCACCTCAACTCCATGGGGATAGAAGCTTCCATGGCCAGGACCCTCTGGATCTCACCCCATTGTACCTCTTCATGTGGCTGTTCATCTGCATCCATTATGATACTTTTTATAAACCAGCAAATGTAAGTCATTGTTTTTCTGAGTTCTTGGAGTCATTACAGTAAAAGAAACCAGGGAGGGGCTCATGGGAACCTCTGATTTATAGCTGATTGGTCAGAAGTACAGGTGACCACTTAGGGCTTGTGTCTGAATTAGAGGACAGTCTCATGGGACTGAGCCCTTAATTGGTAGCATTTGGGCTAATTTTGGACAGTTACTGTCAGATCCTGATGCTGGGAAAGATTGAAGGCAAGAGGACAAGGGTATGACAGAGGGCGAGATGGTTGGACGGCATCACCACTCAATGGACACGAGTTTAAGCAAGCTCCCGGAGATGGTGAAAGACAGGGAAGCCTGGCGTGCTGCAGTCTAAGGGGTCTCGAAGAGTCGGACACAACTGAGTGACTGAACAACAACTGTCAGATTGGAATTGAATTGTAAGACACCCAGTTGGTATCCAGAGAGGTGGAGAAGTGGTTGGTTTGAGAAGAAAACCCACTTACTAGGTGTCAGAATTATCATAAACAGAGAGAAAGGAAACAGTTTGTCCTTTAAGTATTGTTAGCAAAAGTCTTTCAAAACTGCATGAGCCCTGCAATCTCTCATATAACAACTGCTTAGCCTACAACAGTTAACCACATATTTTTTATTCTTTAGAAGTTCTTAGTAAAGTATCTGAACTTCTTCACATTAGGAATCTGTTAAAAGTTACAATGCACACACTGTATGTATGTAAAATATTGGATATTAACATTTAAAAAGACTCACAATGTGTGCTTAGGTTAATGGGTAAGTCACGATAAACATTTTTTTTTCCACTGTATTTTGGGAACTAATAAAATGACACTTTGCAGGTGGCACTAATGGTAAAGAATCCGCCTGCCAATGCAGGAGACATAACAGATTCAGGTTCAATCCCTGGGTGGGGAAGATCCCTTGGAGTAGGAACTGGCAACCCACTCCAGTATTCTTGCCTGGAAAATTCCATGGACAGAGGAGCCTGGCGAGCTACAGTTCATGGGGTCGCAAAGAGTCGGACACGACTGAAGCAACTGAACACAAGATGACAGAACTTGTGCTACTTTAAATTCTTGTTTAAAGACCTCGACTTCCAACCTAAAAATTCACAAAGCCTACACGTTTCTTGGAGCTTCCCTGGCTGAACAGCACTTAGGACTCAGCACTTTCACTGCCAGGGTCCAGATTCTATCCCTGCTTGAGGAATTCAGATTCTGCATGTTGCAAAGTGTGGCCAGGGGGGAAAAACCTAATGCTTCTGGGTAGAACATGAACTTAAGAAAAAAACCAAATCAATGTATTATGGAATAACAATAATCACTAACATTACTGAACCCTCACTGACATGTCAGACTTTATTCTAGGTGGTTTAATTTGAGTAATTTATTTAACTTTGAAAACAGCTCTCTGAAAGAGGTATTATTAACATGCCCTTTTGACAGGTAAGGAGACAGGTTTAGGATAAGGAATTAACTTGTCCAAGATCCCGAATCTGGTAAATACTGGAGCCAGGATTTGAACTCTGGAGTCTGACCTTCACTGCTATGCTGCACAGGGTCAAGTTCAAAGGCCTCTTAAACTCCATCCAGACCTAAGTTCCTACGTTTTTTTTTTTGTTGTTGTTGTTGTTGTTTATTTTTAACTGGAGGATAATTGGTTCACAATATTGTGTTGGTTTCTGCCATACATTAACATGAATCAGCGATAGGTATCTGTGTATCCATCATCCACATTGAACAGATGTCATATTTGCTTCAGATTCAAGCCACTTAGTCGTGTCAGACTCTTTGGGACCCCGTGGACTGTAGCCCGCCAGGCTCCTCTGTCCATTGGATTTTTCAGGCAAGAACTCTGGAGTGGGCTGCCATTTCCTTCTCCAGGGGATCTTCCTGACCCAGGGATCGAACTCGCGTCTCCTGTATTGCAGGCAGATTCTTTACCTGCTGAGCCAATGGGAAAGATTGAATCAGCCATAGGTATACGTATGTTACCTCCCTCTTGAACTTCCCTCCCACCTCCCATCCCATCCCAAGTCTCTAGGTTGTCACAGAGTGCCAGTTTGAGCTCCTTGAGTGATAGAGCAAATTTCCACCGGCTATCTATTTTACATATGGTAATATACATGTTCCCATTGAGAGCAGCCTCTACATTTAAAGAGGAAGAAAGTAAGGCCTAGAGAGGTAAAGTAACTTTCAAGGAAAATATTAGGAGCCAGAAACATCAAATGCTAAATAGAGCAATTATTGGGTTCATTCAGGTTTTTGGTAGGATGTTACAGAAAAACCCAAATGAATTTCTGGCCAACCCAATACTTAGCACAATTGGCTCTGGACAGTGCCAGAGGGCCCAATGAGGGGCTGGCCATGGATATGACCCCTCTTTCTACACAGTCCATTTATTTAGCTGCCATCATATATAAGGCCCAGAGCTAGATGTACAGAATAGATCACTGTTGGGGGCAGTCTGTGCCCTTAAGGGATCTACATTAGAAGGAGGCTAAGACACACAACCAATAGCTACATGACAAGCAGAATGTGACAAAGTGCCCTGACAAAGATAAGGATGGACCTTGGTGCTGGAAAACAATCCAGAGTTCCTCCAAATGTTAAACATAGAGCCACCACGCAGCCCAGGAACACCACTCCCAGGTACAAGCACAAGAGAACTGAGAATATGTGTTCATGCAGACGCTTGTACATGAAAGTTCATAGCAACATCGTTCATAATAGCCAGAAAGTGGAAACTAAAGGCCGAACATGCTTGGCATCCCACAGGCAGCTTAAATCCAGTCTATGCTATATTCATCACTGACTATGACCCTAACACTCATTCTTTTCCTTCCCAACTCCTGCACCTCCACCCCCATTTCCACCCACTTTTGTAGGAGCCCCAAGCTTGGAGAGAGGGATACACACAGGGAGCGAGTAAGGGATTTCTTTCAGCCAACAGCACTAATCCAGTCAACCTTAGGGAACCCCGGTGGCCCATCGCCCATCTGTTATTCTATCCACTCCATCACCAGTCAGAAATTTGAGATTCAACTCACATTCATCCAACGTTCTTTCCCTTGTATCCCTCCCACCCATTCTCCAAGGCTTTCTGAATTCTGCCTGCTAAGTATTCCTCAGGTTTATCTCTTTTTCTCTAAAATGTTCCTAAAGCATTTCCTCTATTGTACCTATTTTCAACCCACTTTCCATAGCTCTCAAAGCAGTGGTCCCAAATTACAGTGAACATTTTTATCCATAAACACCTGGGGGATGGGGGTTATTGTGGGGAGTAGAAACTGCTTATTAAAATCCAGATTCCTTGGTCAATCTGGCCAGTCAAATGGGTGAGTCCTGGAATCTGTATGTTTTTACAAGCATCTTCTGATGCTAATATTTATCCATCCTCAAGACTCAGCTGCCCTCTCCACCTCCCCAGGAAACTCCTTCATTCACTCATGTAGGCTGGTGGACCTGTCCTCTCCAGCATCCCCATCTGCACATAAATCTATCAGAGTATTGATCCCATCAGGAGGAACTGGCTTCTGTGGCTGACTTCATAACTAATGGATAAACCGAGAAGCAAGTCCTGAGTCTCTAGATTTGTATTCTCAGTGGCCAGGGCAGTGTCTGACATATAGTAGGCACTTGACCAATATAAACTGAACTAAAGAGAATTTTGTGGATGAGGGTATGTGCTTGGGCTGGATGAGACAGGCATAGCCACACTTCGCTTCCATGGGCCCCAGAGGCAATGGGAACCCTGATGGGGCAGGTCCAGTGGTGCAGAGGTGAGCACGAATACTGGCCTTGTGCCAGGTACTGTGTTAGGTGCTATACATTTATTGAGCACCTACCATGTTTTAGACACTGTGAGTGCACCTACGTTAAATACTTTTTACTCAGAACTGCTCTACAAGGTGGTATCAGCCCTATTTTGCAGAGACTGGCATCAAAGCTGGAGGGGTTCAAGAATAGATTTGGAGCCAGAACCCAGGTTATCTGGTTTCCAAAGTCCATCCTCCCCCCATTACCCTGGCAACAAGTGTGCTGGCAGATAATGTGGTCCAGGCACTAGATGGAGTCTGAAGTAAGGGGACAGAGTGGGCACCATCTGCTGCTCCCACCTACCTCATCCCCAGCTGAACTCACGTCAGGCACCATCTTTGCCCCTGGTGGTAGGCCAACTGCTTTGCAGGGGTGAATGGTCATGTGATATTGTGATTTATAATATGTAATATATATTTGGTCTGGGTCTCATTTCTGGCTCACAGCTCCTAAAACCCTTGGAATTTCTTAAGTGATAAGGCCAATAAAGGAATCTTTTGTTATTCGTATCAAATGAATGGGGCTTTCAATGGGAGTTTCAGTTAATATAATGACTTTTTGGAAAGCTTCATGATAACCTGAGGAGGGGAACTGGTTGCCAGGGGAAATCGTGTGACTAGAGACTGGAATCTCTCAACCTCACCGTCCTCTCCCCCTGACCTCCAGCGAGGAGACAGCGGCTGGAGGTTGAATCAATCACTAATGGCTAATGCTTTAATCAGTTATGCCTACATGATTTAGTTTCCATAAAACCCAAGAGGATAGGGTTGGGTGAGCCTCTTGGTTGGTGAGCACCAGAGGTGCTAGGAGGTGGTACAGCTGGCCAGGGATGGAGGCTCCACGCCTCTTCCCACAGACCTTGCCCTAAACATGTCTTCATCTGACTGGTCCTTTAATAACCTTTATAATAAACTGGTAAGCTAGCAAGTACCAGCTGGGTTTGCAGACTCGGCGACACATCGCTGGATGTGTGGAAACACCACGACACATTTGGTGATTAGACGTGCCAGGAGAGGAATGGAGTATTGAGAGTGGAGGAGCAGCAGGAGTGCTTTTCCTGAGCAGGTAAGAAGGTGGAACAGAGAAAGACAGTCTGGCCATCATGCCCACCTTTTGGCAGCCTTGCTCTCAGATGCTAAAGTGAGATGAGGAAGTCCCATTTCAGTGCACTGTCCCAATGCCACTGGCTGGTTATGATCCATCATGTACAGAATGGAACAGTGGAGAAATGAGTAGAAAAGGCTTTGGTTCCACTGTACGAATAGCAATGTGAAGCCCAACCAAGCTTCACACCAGATCCCACCTTCCCTGCACATAAGGGGCACCAAAAACTAGGGCAGAGAATGCACATGTATTTTCCTAATTGTCTGACTTAATGCTTACAAAATCATTTCTGTGTCTGATTCCACCCCTAGCCTGATTATATGCCCTGTTTTAGAGAAAGGTAAAGACCGCCTTACCAGGTAACCGGATGGGCTTCCAGGGGGCAGAGTTTGGCACGTAGGCATGCTTTGTGGCCGTGACAATCAACTGACTGCCCAGCTTATACTGGAATTTGATGAAGGCAACGCCATCTGTCCCCGAGGTACCAGAGGCAATGGAGACCTGGTTGGTGAAAATCTCAATGAGCGCATCAGGGACGGGCTGATGAGTGCTGGCATCACTGATGTGGACCTTCAGGGTGACCTCTGGAGGAAGGACAGAGCAACAAAGAACTGGTTACTAACTGGGGAACTCCAACAGTGATTCTGTAATAACAGCAAAGGGAGGTAGAAAGTATTCATGGGATATGCTTAGATAATCTAGACTGGGGACTTTTCTGGTGGTTCAATGGTTAAGACTTCATGCATCCAATGCAGAGTGCACAAGTTTGATCCCTGATGGGGGAACTAAGATCCCACATTCTATAAGGTGCAGCAAAAATTTTTTTATTAGAAAAAAAATTCTAGATCTACATCCAAAATATAAATCGTTTTAACCAGGAACATTCTCTTCTTAGCAATTCTTTTTTTACTTTGCATGATTCCTTATCTTCTTCAAAACCACCGCCTATAACAAACTCCTTTCCTCCTGGCTCCTCCCAGCTTCCCCTAACAATAATTGAGAGAAAATCTCTATTCCTTTAAGACACCATGCAGCAAACACAATGCTTTCTGATCCTGCCCAGTGTTGCTGGTAAACACAGCCTAAGCAAGGCTCAGGCTGCTACACAAGGACCCTGCAGGCACTAATTTGCAGCAAAATTGTTCAACAGTCTGTGATGAACATGGATGTGTACAGCTCAAGGTCGCTGTGCTGGTAATCATGAAGACATATGACTGAAAAGTCGTCCCTGAACACAGTACCACCAAGGGGGTGGGCAGACTATCTAAGCAACGCATCCTGCCCAGCCATGGACCTGCCCCAGTTGTTACCCCATTTAAGGAACCAGCTCGCCCCTCCTTGGGAGGGAGGAAAAGCACCTGTTACTTGGTTTTGTTGGATCCCTCATGCTGCAGCCTTCCCAAAAAAGTCTTGACTGAATTTCCCTTCCTGATTTGTACTGATAAAGAGTTCAAGGGCTCGGTTGGTATCACAGAGTTAATACATTTTTTGGCTAGATGACCATAAGGAATAGCTAAAGAACCCTAGACCCAGGAGTTACATAAGGTCTGCAACAAATAAATCTCCCAAAAACCTTGTAGAGAAAAAAAAGTGCTACAAAAACTGAACCTGGTTACTCCCTACTGTAAGAGGAGAAAACTACTGCCAAAAGAGGGATAAAATCAACATCAAGAAAATCAGGCATATGGCATTACAAAGCATGTCATTCCTGACAATCTTATCAGTGTTATCTTAATGCAGATTTGCAGCACACATTTGCTTTCTTACAGAACTGGGTCTTACTTGTCCCCAGTGGTATGGGAAGTTATAAATGAATTAATACTCTCATAGCAGAAATCCTCTAGAACAGGACAAGTGGGAAGGTGCTTTGTGGCGTTGCACGTTGATGATTTATATAGCCTTGTAATGCAACATTCACTAACAACTGGGATTACTGCTTTCTCTCAGAAAGGTTTCTGCTTTCTCTTCACTGTTGGCTGAGAAGGCAAAAGCAGCGGAGATTTGGAAAAAGTGAAATAATTTCTGAATAAACACAAGAGAGGAGTTCTCCAAAGGAATGGACACCAAGCAGGGAATAAAGAAGTGATAAATTGGGAGAATGGTGCTGACGCTCATATACTGCTATGTATCAAACAGATCACTAATGAGGACCCAGTAAAGAGTTTATCAGGGACTATACTCAGTGCTCTGTGGTAACTTAAATGGGAAGGAAATCCAAAAAAGAGGGGATATATGTATGCATATAGCTGATTCACTTTGCTGTACAGTAGAAATTAACATAACATCTTAAAACAACTACATTCCAATAAAAATTAAGTAAAAAAAGAAAAGAGTTTTCTTATAATCAATGCCCTGGGTTCTACCACTTGAATTTCTTCTAACATGGGAAGCCTAGTATATGTTCTGCAATTATATACCTTGAAAAAGATTATTTAGCTACTTCTTTTGGTGTAACAGGATGTGAAAACACATCATTGTGCTTAGGTAATTATTACAGACTACTGGGGTGTCATATGTATTAAAATTTTGCAATTTGTTTTATTTATATGAATAAAGAACAGTAGGAACAGCCAACCCATTCAGTAGGTCTAGATTTAGCTCATATTTTAAAAATTAGACTTTATTTTTAAAAGCAGTTTTAGGTTCACAGCAAAATAGAGTGAAAGTTACAGAAATGTCCCACTGGGGTATCATTTTTATAGCAACATTTATATTATCCATTCAACAGCAAACAAGATTATTCCCATTAAAAGACAACCCGGGGAGTGATCTTATCATGAGGTGGGGCAGTTCAGTTCAGTCTGCTCAGCCTTGTCTGAATCTTTGCAACCCCATGGACTGTAGCACACCAGTCTTCCCTGTCCATCATCAATTCCTGGAGCTTGCTCAGACTCATGTCCATTGAGTCAGTGATGCCATCCAACTATCTCACCCTCTGAGAAAAGGTGGGGCACTACATACTATTTATTTATTTCATTTTGCAGAGAAAAGGAAGATCCTATAAATGGCCCTAGACCTAAATATGCAGTAGGATCCACTCCTGGGCATATATGCAGAGAAAATTCTAATTTGAAAAGATACATGCACCTCAGTGTTCATAGCAGCATAATTTATAGTAGGCAGGACATGGAAGCAGCCTGAATATCCATCAACAGATGGATAAAAAAGATGTGGTACATATATACAGTGAACTGTTACTTAGCCATTAGAAAGAATGAAATGTCATCTATAGCAACATGAATGAGAGATTATCATATTAAGTGAGGTTAAGTCAGGAAAAGAAAGACAAACACCATACAATATCACTTGGAGAAGGAAATGGAGACCCACTCTGATATTCTTGCATGGAGAATTCCATGGACATTAGGGCCTGGTGAGCTACAGTCCATGGGGTTGCAAAGAGTCAGACACAACTGAGCAATTAATACAATTTCATCACTTATATGTGGAATCTAAAATATGGCACAAATGAACTTATCTACAAAACAGAAACAGACTCACAGACATAGAGAACAGACTTACAGTTACCAAAGGGGAAGGTGTGGGGGAGGGATGAATAAGGAGTTTGGGATTAGCAGATACAAACTACTATATATAAAATAGATAAACAGCAAGGTTCTACTGTATGGTACACAGAAATATATCCAATATCCTGTAATAAACCATACTGGAAAAGCATACACACACACACACACACACACACACACACACATATATACACATACAATGAATCATATTGCTATACAACAGAAACTAACACACCATTGTAAATCAACTATGCTTCAACAAAAAAAACATTATCCTGAGTATGTCTGTAAGTGATTTGGAGGAGATGAACATTTAACTGAGTAAAGCAGATCACCCTCCTTCATGTGGGTGGGCCTTGTCCAATCAGTTGAAGACCTGAAGAAAACAAAAAGTTTCCCCCAGAGTAAAGGGAGACTTTTTCCTACCAGTCTCTGAACACTGGCATTTCCTACTTTCAGACTTGAACTGAATGTCAGCTCTTTCCTGATTTCAAGTCTACCAGCATTTGAACTAGAACTATACCATCATCTCTCCTGGACATCCAGCTTGCCGGCTCACCCATTAGACCTTGGGACTTGTCAGCCTCCATGATCATGTGAGCCAGTTCCTTAGAATAAATCTCTTCCCATAGGCCCATACACCCCATTGGCTCTGTTCTAGCCGTATACATCATGGGTTCCAATTCTGCAGTGCATGGTAGGTGGACCCTGGGAGTGTGTGCTCCGATCTCTTCTTGTTTCACACTCTTACTCAGCATTATTTCATGATCAGGAATTCAGTTACCGCCTCTACAGCATGCTTCTCAAATTCTCATGGACCAGTAGTAGAATCAAGAAGGAAAAAACAAGTGCTCAGGAATTCTTCCTCCCCTATAATTCAGAACTCCTTTACTCTTGGCAGATTTGAAGAGTTTGACTCTGTGGGCACAAACCAAATCATTTTCAAAGAGCGTATCTGCTTGGTGGGTAGAACACTAAACATTATCTTTTAGTCCAGCATGATCTTTTCATCATCTCCTTTCTATCTGCCGCAGACTTAGAACTAAAGGAGACAAGTCTGTTTCAAATTGCTGGTTGGAGAGGAGGCACCCACACAGCAAGTTTAGAGCAAATAGCACGGCAGGAGCAAGAGGAAGGAATCGCAGTGCACCCTTCACAGGTGCAAAGTACTTAGCAGAACTGCCTGTAGACACCAAGGGGCCATGCCTCCTCTCCTCCCCTTTGACCTTCAAATAGTAATGCATGTCTTTAGTTTTTTCCCACAAATTACAGAAGACTTTTACTTCATAACGTCTCATGCCAACTCTATAATCGACATTCTTCATCTCTCCTACAGTCACCTGCTGAAGGGTACTACTCCAGATTGCAGCCCCCTCTGTGGTTCTCACCAGGAACACAGCTGGGAGGACCATACTCATCTCAGTCTGAATAGCCACCAAGCCTCGGTTTCACATCAACTGGAAAAAGATCTGACCTATCATGGAAGGAAAAGTGAAATCTACAGGCTCCATTGTTCTTTTTTTTGTTTGTTTCTTTCTGTGAAGTTTTGGCTCCCTCTGACCATTTTTCATGGTTTTTTATACTCCCTCAAATTGGCCTTGATGCTTGGATTTTAATATTTTTCTTCCCTTTTGGTGTTTAGAGCTGTTGGGTTTCCACAGCAACCCACCTCGCTGGGAACCCAGTGTTTGCTGGGTTGGCCCATCAGGCTCTGTGGAAAGAAAGTCCATTTCCACCAGCAGATCAAGCGAAGGCTTTCAGTCCAAGCTGCCCAAATGCCCTGTGCTGCTGACCATCAGGGAGAGCAGCAGAAAAGCAAATCACTGCACTCCAGCGCTGTGATTAGTTATATTTAACCCAAATTCAGGGGAGTCACAACAGCTTCCCATCAAAATAGAAAAAATTAGTCATTTGAAAATATTTTCTAAAACCTGACCTTTGCTTGAAGAGATTCTGCTCCATACTTCTTGGTGCTAACTTTTAACAATATCTGTATATTTATAGAATTGCCACTTTTTTATACAGCAATTACAGGTATATCCTGAGCTGCCCATGTA